GGTAGATTTCAATGGTAATGTTTATCACCTCTACTAATTAGCATGACGTAAATTTTCATGCTTCCTCCTCAAATATAATACATTTTTTAAAATTTGTTGATTTTGTGTGTGTGTGTGTGTGTGTGTGTATCACACAGAACATCTCAAACCGTCTTTATTCGACTATTCACCCACTTCCCAGATGGCACCCTCCCATAGCCTCCCTCCCCCCACTAGATCCCTTAGACTCTGACATCCCTTAGACATCTAGTAAAAGTGTTTACTGCCAGTAAACCAAGTTTGAACCCTGAGTCCCACATAGTAGGAGGAGAACCGGTTTCTGAAAGTTGTCCTCTGACCTCCACAGGCACACAGAGGCACACACACACACACACACACACACACACACACACACACACTTAAGCCCACAGCATTTTGGATGCCACACTGAGTGCTAAGAGAAATGTTGCATTTCTAGAAAATGCCATCCCATCTAACTGCAGGTGTTGCCTTTGTTCCACAGGATGGTCTGACGCCGCTGCACTGTGGGGCCAGAAGTGGCCACGAGCAGGTGGTAGAGATGCTACTGGACCGAGCCGCCCCCATTCTTTCAAAAACCAAAGTAAGGTCTTCTCAGTTTTCCGAACATTGTGCTGTGCTTGGCTACGACCCCTTTGCTGTTGTCTGACTGAGCATTTCAATCACAGAGAACACCGTAGCCACTGGAGTCTATAAACTAATACTTGGAAGAACTCAAAATTAGTGGGGTCTGGGGAGAGGCCTCAGTGGATAAAGTACTTGCTATGCAAGTGTAAGGAGGACACATCGGTCACCAGTACCCACACAGAAGCTGAGCAGCTGTGGTGGCCCCCGGAACCCTAGCACTTGGCAGGCAGAGAGGGGATTCCAGGGCAAGCTAACTAGCCATACTATCCAAAATTGGCAAGCTCGGGGTTCAGTAAGAGACCCTGCTTCGATAATTAGAGTGATCTAGAAAGACACCCGATGTCAGCATCAGGCCTCTACATGCATGCACACACACATACATGTGTCCTCATGCATGCAAACACATATACACACATGCAAAAAAAATGTAAGTTTATGAAGCCTGTGTGTAAAGTGGTTTTACAGCAAAATCATTGTGTGTTGTTTCTGGACTGTTTTGCTTGCTACTCAGCTTCACCATATGAGAGCTTAGAGCTCAGAAATAACTACTGTTTAAGAAGTGTGAAAGATGTGCTCTCTGCAAAGTCTGGGGCTGGCCCTTTACCCCAGACCCTTCCACCACACCTTGTTCATTTCTTCACGGCTCAAAGACTAGAGTTGGGGTGTAAGTCAGTCATAGAGTGTTTGCCAGTCATGCACAAGGCCCCCAGTTCAATGCAAAGTTTTGTTAAAAAATTTAAAATTGTTTTTCCATTCTCCTATGGTTTGGGGATTTGGAGGTGAAACAGCTTGAAAACACACACACCGCCACCACCACCACCACCACCCCCACCACCATCACCATCCCCCCCACCCCCACCACTACCACCACCACCACCACCATCACCCCCACCACCACCACTACTACCACCACCACCACCACCATCACCCCCCCCACCACCACCACCACCCCCACCACCATCACCATCCCCCCCACCCCCACCACTACCACCACTACCATCACCACCACCATCACCACCACCACCATCCCCCCCCCACCACCACCATCACCCCCACCACCACCACTACTACCACCACCACCACCACCATCACCCCCCCCACCACCACCACCACCACCATCACCCCCGCCCCCACCCCCGGCAGCTCATTGGAGCTGGCTTGTATCTCCTTCCTGTGTCCATGTTTAGTTCTCACAAGGGCAGCTTGCAATTGATTACAGCAGGGAATCTGAGCACCCCAGGCATTGGTACGTGGGATGCATGGGGAGCTTTGCTTCTTCAAACGCTGGTGGTTAAACCTTAGTATGCCACTGCGGATCAACCTCTCCCAAGACACCTCTCAGCTCACTTTCTTCTGCGAAGAGCTTTACCACACTTAAAGCCTTCTTCTCATTTTCCAAAAATCTCTGGCCATCCTCTTTCCTGGAGTGTATGTGGGGGTGGGGAGGGATACAGCATGAATTTCACCCTTTCAGTTCCTTTGGAGTTTTGGAAGAGCTGAGGAAGAGGTGAGAAGCATCTGCCAGTCTTGACCAGCATTTCCTGTGCACTAAGAGCAAGCTAACAGATTCTGAGCACCTGGCCGCCTCCTCCACCGAGTCTGCCCCTGGCTCACCTGCACTCAGCCATCTAGTCCTCTGTACCTTCTAGGATATGCCAGCTGTGTGCTCGGCTTGCATTCCCTCGGCCTGTCCCGGGTTGCTTTGGTCTCTTACGTTCTTCCTTTCAAATGTCGTCGTCTTGGGATCCTCTTCTCTGCCTGGCCAGCACTGCGATTATAGGCGTGCACCATGCCGGGCTTTTTATGTGGGTTCCAGTATCCTTCAAGCAGGATTTTTCCTTCGGAGCTTGTCACACCATTAGAAACCTCTTTCATCCTGCTGCTGTTTACTCGCTGTCTGGCTTTTTTTTTTTGGGGGGGTACAATGAAAGTCAGAACTTCCTTGTTCAGCCTGGAACCCTAAGCACCTAGATCAATGTGCAGTTCAGACTAAGCCCTAATTACTATCTGTTGGAGGAGAAGTGAATGAGTTAATGTGTCCAGTCCTTCAAGACTTTTATCTTACTGAGTTAAGAAAGACTGACACCTGGATCCATGCTTTTCGGCACCATCTGCAGTATGAGCCCTTTAGGCCCCTTGATCTTTCCATACCTTGCTTGCTGTCATTTCCAGTGATGATGAGTTAGTTTTCTGCCCATGTGTCACACTGTTCTGTGCCTCATTAAGGGCTTTTTTATTCTGTTGTTGAGATACAACACTCTTACCAAAAGCCACTTATGGGAGGAAAGAGTTGATTGGCCTTACACTTCCAGTCCGTCATCCAGGGAAGTCAGGGCAGGAACTTAAACAGAAGACAGAGGAATGCTGCTTGCTGGCTGGCTCTCAGGCCCATACTTGGCTTCGTTATACAGCCCAAGACCACCTGCCTAGGGAATGGTGCCACCACAGGGAGCTGGGCCGGCCCACATCAATTTCTAAATGAGACAATCCCCCACAGACATACCCCCAGGCCAATCTGATCTGGGAAATCCCTCTTTTGGAGCCCCTTCTCAGGTGGGTGGTGTCGTTTGACAGAGCTAACTAGGACAGAGACCTCCTGTTTTCAACACTGCCCCCCACAGATGTTCCCCAGGAAGAAGTTGTTCTCTGGGGTTTTGTTCTTCTGTTGGTGCTGCACCCCCTCTAAGACTGTATCAAAACATAAAGGAGTGTTTTGGCAGGAGGGGGTTAGTAAGGATGCTTGTGCGTGGAAGTCTCAGATGGGAAATGTCCCGCCCTTTATGACACCTTTAGTTTATACTTGGGGATACTATTTTAGGCAGACATATCCTGATTGGCCATAGACTGAATCTTTAAACTTACATAAATATTTATTATATATGTGTGTGTGTGTGTGTGTCTGTCTGTCTGTCTGTCTGTCTGTATATGTGTGTGTGTGTGTAATCTGCAGAGCTCTCTGCTAGACAATATAGAAAAAATATAATCAAAAGCTTCTTGACTTTAAGGAGCGAAATTATTTGAAAAATGTAGGCATGGGATAGCTAAAGGGTTATGTTACCTTTGCTTGGACTCTTTCATGTTGTGCTACAATAAGAAAGAGAAAGTATCTTGTCTCAGAGAATTCAGATGCCCCTGGTTCACTATGTAGTTTTTACTTTATTTCCTTTTTTTTTTTTCCTGGTCTTTTGAGACAGGGTCTCCCTATAGCCCCAGCTGGTGTGGAAATCACTGTACAGACCACACTGGCCTTGATCTCACAGAGATCCACATGCCTCTGCCTCCTCAGAGCTGGGATTAAGACATGGAGCTTAAACCACCACACCTGGCTTAAACTCCTTTTAATAAAATAATTTTCACCAGTTTTCTCAGCTCTCTACCAACATCTAAATAAGCAGAATTTTTATCTTACCTGGTTAGCCTTTTCAAATTTTAAAATCACTATGCTCAGTTGTTATAGACCCAACTTCTTTTCAAACTAACATTCATTGGTTCACATGCTTGTATGAGATGTCTGTATCTGAGAGTCACATGTAATAACAAAGTACGTATTGTTTTTCCAGAGTGTTAATCCATATCTTCAAGGAAAGAGGCTGGACAACGTTGTGGCCAAGAAATCTGTCCCCCATTTTTCAGAAGAGGATAAGAACCCAGAATAAAGAGATGCTGGGTGGAAACCCACGCCCCACAAAGTTCATGTGCATGCATTCCTAGAGGCTCCGTGAATGGTAGCATGCTTCTTATATAGATTTTCCAGCCTGGTCTACATAGTGAGTTCCAGGCCAGCTGGGGCTACAGCGAGACCCTGTCTCAAAAAGACAAAAAGAAAAGCTTGGCAAGACTGACATTCAGCTGCCCTGCTTGGATTTCATTGGAAAGCATCTGTCGCGTAGTAAATGCCACTCCACACTTCTTTGGTGCTTGTAGGTTGAACCCAGGGCCTCATAACGTGCTAAATGCTCCCTCTGCACTACCTGCATCCCAACCCCATTCTAACCTTAATGGACCCTTATTTCTACTGGTTTCTTCCCTGAGATCTTTAAATGAATCTTCAGTTCTCATGTGGCACATGAAAGGAGCTGGGCACTGGCTTCCCTTTCCCCTCGTAGACACATGGGGGCACCAGACTAATAGAAACGGGCCAAGGTTTCCTTTCTGCCTTGAGAGATGAAGTGATTGATCCAGTGTCTTGTGGTCAGAGCTTTGCATTTTTTAGGTCAATCAATACAGTGTTCTCTCTCAAACATCAGTAATCTGTAAGGACTGGGCCAATAGCAGACCAGTTCTTTCTTTGATTTCTTTCTTGCAATTTTAAATAATAAGAAATTCTCTTAACTAAGAATACAGTCAGATCATACAAATTTTAAATTAGGAAAAGAAATTATTACCCTTGACTGTGAGAAAGAGAGGGTCCACTTTTAAAGTGGCTGTAGTTCAAAGCAGTTATGAACATTTTATAAAAACAAAGTTTTTCCATGTGAAAAAAGTTTTCAATTTGTTCACATTTGTGCTTCGTCTTTGCTCAGTCACGTTTACAAGACAGAACAATGAGCCCTGTTTTCCTTTCAAATTCCAGAATGGACTGTCTCCATTGCACATGGCCACCCAAGGGGACCATTTAAACTGCGTCCAGCTTCTCCTCCAGCACAACGTGCCAGTGGACGACGTCACCAATGACTACCTGACTGCCCTCCACGTGGCTGCCCACTGTGGCCACTACAAAGTCGCCAAGGTTCTCTTGGATAAGAAAGCCAACCCCAATGCCAAAGCCCTGGTGAGTGGTTCCAGCCTCGGGTCCAGCCCCTAAAAATCCTGCTGACAGCGTGCCACCCTGGGAGTGGAGACATGCAGAGGTAAAATGGGAATGTGTTCGTTAAACACAGTGTGCTCTGTTAACTTTTACAAATGTCCTTGGAACAGACAAAGCCTCTTATTTCTGGCGGGAATGAAACTGAGTGAACATGTTAGCGCTTCGGGGTCTGACCTGTCACCATTTTACATAAGTCAAATCCAGAGACCCGATTATAACAAAACGCTGAGATAGTCAACTTCACGATGCTGTTGGTAATGTTGCAATTCCTTGAGTTAAAAGTCTAGGATTTTTTTCGTTCTGAGATCCGAAAACTTGAGGCAAGCCAGACATGGTGGCTCACACCTCTTATCCCAGCACTTGAGAGGCTGAGACAGGAGGATTACCATGAGTTCGAAGCCAGCCTGAACTACAAAGTAAGACCTTGTCTCAGAAAATCGAGTTTTTTTTTTTAAATGAAACAGTATAATAAAAGATTCTATTTGTCTAAGAACTTGTGAAGCTGACGTTTGTTGCTAACCTGGTAGGTTTAGTGAAATATTGCCTTCCTTTCCTTTAGCCGATCACAGTTTTGATCCAGTTTAGTACTAACTTCTACAATCTTTTGTTCTATCTGTCCTTAGCTGTGATAGACTTTACTTTCCTCAGAAGGAGAGCATTTGTTAGTGTTTTTTTAAAAAAGATCATTACCTAGTAAGCCGTTTACATTTCATTCTGAATAAGTACTCATGCTGGGAAAAGAAATGTCACCCAATTTTAAGGAAAACATTGATTTCCTAGCAATTTTGAGCATCCAGTCAACCCCTTTAGCTAGATCTCGCTTCCTTTCAAATGCAGTGGTCACACTGCCTTGTACGCCCGGAGCTGTGGTGCCTCTCCGTGTTTATGAACTCTGAAATGCAGCAAGCGCAGAGGAGAGGAGATAGAACTTTCCACACGGACAGCTCCATCACCACTACAGTGCTGAGAGCTTTTACCAAGCAGCATTTCAAGAGCTGTTAATCTGCCCAGTGTGTCAAATGCCTCTGGATTCTGGGAAGGGAGGAAGAATGAGTAGCTGTGACTCATTTTTCCATATAAGAAAAATAAGCTCTTAGAGCAGGGTGTGGGCGCTTACTCCCATTTTCCTATGACCGAAGATTTCACAACCAGGAGGCACTGTAGACAGTTACTCTGGGATGAACTCTCACCAGAGAAAACTGTCTCAAGACCTCCCTTGGGGGCTGCCATAACTTTGACCCAGGCCTGCGTTGAACCCTGGTGTTTCTTGGCTCTCTATCGGAAACTGAAAGAGGTGACCCAGCCTCAGCTGTTAGCAGAGCAGTTTGGGGGGTAATTTGTTTAAAAGCCAACTCTTATCACCAGAGAAAACTGTCTCAAGACCTCCCTTGGGGGCTGCCATAACTTTGACCCAGGCCTGCGTTGGACCCTGGTGTTTCTTGGCTCTCTATCGGAAACTGAAAGAGGTGACCCAGTCTCAGCTGTTAGCAGAGCAGTTTGGGGGGTAATTGCCTAGGTTTGGAGAAATGGCTCAGCAGTTAAGAGCACTGGCTTCTCTTCCAGAGGACAAGGGTGTGGTTACCAGCACCTACATGGCAGCTAACAACTGTCTGTAACTTCAGTTCCAGGGGCTCTGACACCCGCTTCTGACCTCAGGCATTTCATGATGTGGGTGCACTTATATAAGGCAATACACTCATACACATAAAATAAAAATAATAAAATATAAAAAAAGTAAAAGCCAACTCTTTCATTAGATTAAATACTAAAGCAAATGATCTAAATAATGTTGAATCATTTAAGTTTCTGCTTCCTTAAAATAAGCACATGCTTGAACCCTAAAGCCGCAGAAGGAATGAAAACATTCCAGAGCTTGTGTGTGTCCAGTCACACAGTAAAGAAGTCTGACCAGGAGTGGGTGAAGGTTGGCTGTGTGAACAGACTTGTTTTCCTATGCTGGGTGCCTCCCAGCTGTTCTTACTGTGTGTTTGAAGTGATGTAGAAAAGGGACTTTAGCTAGGTGTGGTGACACATGCCTCAAACAAACATTATAAGGAATGTTACCAGTTTGAGTCCAGCTTCAGCTATGTAGTGAGAGACCATGTGTCAAAAATAAAAAACAAGCTGGGCATGGTGGAACCCGCCTTGAATCCCAGCACCGAGGAGACAGGAACAAGAGACTCTCTCTGAGGTCAAGGCTGGCTTGGTCTACATACCCAGTTCCAGGCCAGTCAAGGCTAAATAGTGAGACCCAGTCTAAATAAACAAAAATTAATTAATATTAATAGAATAAAAACAAAACAAAATAGAACAGAACAGAGAAAATCATTTGGAAGAGAAAATTCCAAAATAAAAAAGGAACTGTGCTCCATTTTGCCTTACCATACCAGGAGATTATATGAATGTTCTCTTCATGACCACCTATCTGGGCACTGCTAGGAACTGCTCCAGACCACGTGTTCTCCCAACAAAGAGAAGATGTGTGTAACTCCTCGTGGTATCTGTCTTGGAGCCCCCCCCCAGCACCCCATTTTAGTAGACCTCTCTTACTCAGTGGACTTGGGCTCTGACGGAACATTCTAGACTGTGTTTGTCCTTTGCAGAACGGCTTCACCCCTCTGCATATCGCCTGCAAAAAGAATCGAATCAAAGTCATGGAACTCCTTCTGAAACACGGGGCATCCATTCAAGCTGTTACCGAGGTGAGAGGGGTTGGGGCTTCAGGGTTCAGGGGACCGAGAACATAGCCTTGGCAGCCTGGGTTCCAGGGCTGCCTCCGGAGACCAGCTAGCTCTGCTTGTGACTGTCACAGACCGCATTCCACGCACTTCACTGAAGGGGCTCCCCAGCTTTAGGAGGAGCAGATATGGTTGTGGGTGGGTAAGTGGATAGATGCAAACACATCCCAGGACAGAAATGTAAGTCAAAACACCCAGTCAGGGGGAGGGTTCCATCGTGGAAAGCCAAACTGACATACACTCTTACAATGTAGTATTTCAGCAATGGAGGCCACTTTGTCCCCTAAGGGCCAGCTGGCTAGAGGCATTTCTGATGGTCACACCTGGACGGTACTGTTTGTCTTGGGTAGAGGCCAACCTTGCCACTCAGTGTTTACAACGTTTATGTCTGGCTAAAAACGTCAAATGTGCCCCACCCCAGCTCTCCACCCCCACCAGCTCTGGTCTGCAGATGCTAGCCTTGGATGCTCTCCTAGAGCGAGCCCTCTTCTCTATGTATGCCACACTCATCTACCAGGCTGGTCCTGCTTATCTGGGCCCCTTCCCAGGAAGCTTGCTCTTTCTTCCTGGCCAGCCCTGTGCTCTTCCAGGGACAGTCACCTCAGGCATGTTTCTAACAAAGATCTTACTGATTTGTCATGGCCACAACCCTCCTGCTCCTGTGACCCCAGAACCTGCAGACCAAGCCTTCCTGACCTCACATACCATCAGTGCAGGGAGCTTGGTCCAGTGCTTAGTACTCAACATAGAAGTTCAAATCTAGGCTTGTAACTGCTGCTTGTACATGCATTTACCTGACTTGTACCAGGCCTAATTTTCAAACACGCAGTGCTTAGAGGATCTTTCATGAGACCTGCCCTTCCACATTAGGCGCCCTGCTATTTTAAGCACAGAATAGTGAGTTTATTCTCAACATAGGGAAGCCCCTTTTAAAGATCAGAATAGACTCTGAGTCAAAAGATTGGACTCGTGTTTTGTAAGTGTCCGGAGATGCTGGCCAGTGATAAAACAGTTGCTTCAGCTTCTGGCTGCCTTAGAGCTCCAAGACTTGCCATCATAGGACTCCCTCTGCTGATGGAAAAGGTGCCAAACTACAACAAAGTAAGAACAACAGTCTTCAGTCTTTACTATTTGGAATCAAGGCACCCAGAACTAGTCTTCTTCCAGCATTTACTTTTATGGATAGAATTGCTCTTACATGTACATGTACATATGTGTGTGTTATATGCATGTGATACACACATGCACGCACTCACACATGCACATACGCACACATATTCAGTACTGGAAACTGACCCTACCTACAGCTTCACACATGCTAGGCAAGTACCCTTGCACTGAGCTCCACACGTGGTCCTATTACATTTTTTAACATATCTCAAATATCTGTAGAGATAACTGTCCCTTTCTCTCCCTTAAAAAACAAGTCAAGTTTATCTAGCTGTATTATTTTTTTAATAAAATGATGTTCATGTTAGCCAGGAGTAATGGCATACACCTTTAATCCCAGCACTAACCAGAACTGTGAGATCAAGGTCAGCCTGGAATACATAGTGAATTCCAGGCCAGCCAGAGCTATATAATGAGAGTCCCCCCTCCCTCCCCCCACCTCTTTCCATATATATATATATGTTTGTGTGTGTATATATATACATATATATGTATATATATGTATATATACTAATTTAATTATGAACAATTAAAATGGGCCAACTTTATATAAAAAGCGCAAGCACATTCAACTTTGTATAATTATTGAGATTTTAATTCTGTATTTTACTTCTCTACTTATACCATATTCAATATAAGATACCTTGGAGTCAGTAAATTCTGTTTCACACTAAAATTGTGTTCAGAGAAGAAGGTGTACACAAGTACACAGGGTTTGAAGCAAATATAATGTTGTTTTCACATGTGCCTTAAATCCATGAGTTAACTCATTTAATGAGCAGAATGATTAATGCTGACTTTCTCCTTTCATAGAGGGATGGTTTGCACTGGGTAATTCTTCACGTCGTAAATTCTATTCATTCGGAGTTCTTGGGAGTTATTTTTAAATCTTGATAGAATTTGAAATGATAGTCAACTTATTAGTAATGTGTGCGTGATTGCTGTGCCCCACTTATAAACACACATATGAATAAAGGAAAGTTTCATAGCAAAGGGGAAAATACACTTTATTTCTATATTAACTTTTTCTTTAAAAGAAAAAGTATCTCAATCAAAAGTATGAAATGTTTCTTTAAGAAACGTCCCTGTTTGCATCCTTCATAATCACAGATCTTATTGGGGAAGCAATGATTACACTGATATATTCACTTCATAGACTCTGTGATGTAATGGTGAATATCCTGATATTTTCTAATGTGATAACTGAGCTGCTTAAGACAGGTGGATGGGGTGGATAGGCAGATGGGTGAATGGAGGAATGGATAGATGGATATATGGACAGATAGGTAGGTAGATGAACAAGTGGATGGAAAGATGGATGAATGAGTGGATGGATCTAGATGGATAGGCCTGTGGTTTGGTTGATGAGTGTATGACGGATGTATGCATGGATGGATAGATGGGTGGGTGGATGGGTGGGTAAATGGATGGATGGGTGGATGGGTAGATGGGATGGATGGATGCATGGGATGGGTAGATGGATGGATGGATAGATGGGTGGATAGGTAGATGAATGAGTGGGTGGGTGGATGGATGGATGGATGGATGGATGGATGGATAGATGGGTGGATAGGTAGATGAATGGGTGGGTAGATGGATGGATGGATGGGATGGGTGAATGGATGGATGGGTGGATGGATAGATGGGTGGATGGATGGATGGATGGATGGGATGGATGGATGGGTGGATGGGATGGATGGATGGATGGATGGATGGATGGGTGGATGGATGGATGGGTGGATAGATAGATGAATGGGTGGGTGGATGGATGGATGGAGGGATGGATGGATGGATGGATGGGACAGATGGGTAGACAAGAAGGCAAGCACACAGACAAGTCCCTTTAACGATTAGCCAACAACCAACATTTTTTTTCTTCTTTCTTAGTCGGGCCTTACCCCAATCCATGTTGCTGCCTTTATGGGGCATGTAAATATTGTGTCACAGCTAATGCATCATGGAGCCTCCCCAAATACCACCAATGTGGTAAGTATCCTTAACAAAGAAGTTCAATTGTGAGGTTTTAAGAATCTGGAAAAGGTGACTTTTATATAAACAGTTTATTATAAGTAAACTAATTGCTTAAAATTATAGAGTTTGAAAACATCTTTGGTTTCCTTTACATTGAAGACAAGATTCATTCAGTGGCTTGTCTGCCAAAAACTTCTTAAGGCTTAAGAAATGTGTTCATTAATATTACAAGGACATTACTACTGTATATTATATTAAAATATAGTGCTGGAAGAATCTGTAACAAGATCAACCGAAAGCACTGCATGTTGAGGGTGTGGTTCAGACACAATCATTCTTTATATGAAGAAGTAATTTCAGTAACTTAAGACTAACTTACCTTAAGACTATCTCACCATGTTACAGCAAACTCATGGAAGTCCGAGTGCACGGATTACCAGATGGTGTTTTCTCACACAAAGCACTCCTCTCAAAACCACAAGACACTTAAGAGTGGTCATCTGAGCAATGAGTTATCACCTTAAACCTTCAGTGTCATTTGATACTGTTGTACAGAATCTCATATTTAATGTCTTCCTATAACCATGTTGGCCATAGCATAAGAACATGTATTTAGCTTGTGAGCACTGAAGAAGTGAAAATGTGCAGTGTCTGCCCCAGAAGTAGTATGCTGTCATGTCTGTGCACTCTCCTGGAGGGTCACCTCCTGAGGAGGGATCTTGTATCCTTCAGCAACTCAACCAGCATAGCTGAAAGGTAGAAAGAGAGCAGTTATTCATGTCAAATGCAAACTTGTATACTGTTAAAGCTGAGTAATACACCACACAACATCCTCAGCATATTTCCGAGGATTACAGTGACGCATTTCCTGTGAACCCCATTTTGCTGACCTTCCATCCAGGTAGACAGCTATTGGGCAAAGGCCACTTTATAAAAGCCACTTCAAAATAGGCTCTGCTTGTGGGAACAAATGTATCTGAATTTGATTATGTTTATATTTTGGTGCATGTTTTCTGTCATGTTAGTTCTGTTGGGAAAATAATCTGAGAGTTTATTATTATTATTAGAGTGATCTGTTTAGATCACTGGAGGTAAGCTACGTCTGACCGGCTGATGTGGTTTTTGGTGCCTGGTGCCATATTTTTGTTTAATTCTGATTTCATAGTCAATATTTAAGAATCAATAAGTTGACGCAAATGTGCAGATGGCCACATCTCAGAAAACAGGATGGTGTGGGACGGCACCCTTCAGGTCCCTGTTAGACGTGTGGGGCTCGCCCCTCAAGCTCACTACCTGCCCTCCTTCATTTCTTACCCCTCTTCTGTACCCTCTAAGTTTTCACCTTTTCAATCTGAACCTGTGCTATAGATTCATGAGCTGTGTGTCAGATAGCATCAGTCACCAGGCTCACGGGGTCGCGTCACATCCCTGCCCTCTGGGAAACGTATGTGTTTGCTTCTGTATCTTTACAGCACGGAAGTGATCAGGGCAAATTTTTGATTTAAAAAAAAAATCATCATAACTTTATGCCACAAAAGCGTGCCAGTTGTCTTGTGCGCTGCCATTAATTAACTTTGACTTATGTTCCCCAGAGAGGAGAAACAGCATTGCACATGGCGGCCAGGTCGGGCCAAGCGGAAGTGGTTCGGTATCTGGTACAGGACGGCGCGCAGGTAGAAGCGAAGGCCAAGGTAAGTGCCAGACGTGGAAGCTTCGAACCGGACCCAAGGGGAACCTGGGGTTTGACAGGACCTTTAAGTGCAGCCGGCGTCAAAGGCACTTTTTATTAATATGATAATGAGCAGCCTCCAGTGGTCATTTGCATAGTTAAGAGTCAGGGCGATGCCTGAAGCCGCCCTGGGCGCACAGCCTGCATTTGATCAGGAACCGGATCTGGGCTGCTCCGAGGCCTTCAGGCCTTCGTGTTCTAGGGAGAAAATGTCAAGAACAAGCTCAGCTTGTAAACATGATTAAGCTGTTTGGATTGACCTAATAGCCAGCTGGCCGTAGCCGCAAAAGGGAAAAAGATACGGGGTTTTTTCCTTCCCGTAAATTTTGCAAGTTTAATCCCCGAGGTGAAATTGTGGCAGACTGGCTCGCTCCGGCCATCACAGCCCTCCGGAGCCTGGGCTGCCATCCCTGGCTGGATAGTTCTTGACTTTATACTTTTCTTCTAGCACCAGCTGGACGGGGCCCCTGTAGGAGGTATTGATTGGGCCTCTAAATTGATGAAACGGAACGTCTAAGAGAGGCTTAAACCGGACTGATAACAAGAGACCTCATGTTCATGGTCACCATTGAGTAGCTGTGTTACATTGGGCAAGTTCCCTGGTATCTCTGTGCTGCATCTTAGCTAAAGTGAAGCGTCTTGAACTTTTTACTTAATGGTCTCAGATCTATAAGTACATAAAGTTGGATACAAATCAAACATTTCCTAGTGATAGAGCATGGATTTATTTTAAAACAACTCTTTGGTATACATAGACTTTACTACTAGAGATGCCAGAAAATTTGCATACTAATGAGATGGGTGTGCATGTTTATTTTCACATGAAGAATTAAATCTTGGCTATTTGCTACCACAGGACAGGGAACATCTTCAAAGTTTTTCAGAGTCAACTGATTCTTTGATTTTACAACTTTTAATGCCAAGAATGCTGCTTTGCCTAAACATGAGCTACAAAATGTTGATGATCATTTCAGAAGTTGTCAGAAATTCTGTCCTGACCCCAAACCAAAATTCACTTAATAATTGTCTGTGAAACTCAAGTCAGCAACTGAAACAGACTATTTTAAATCGACATTCTAATACAAACCAATCCAAAGGAACATTAAGTTGATACCCAAGTGCTTAGGAAAGACAGTGGGAGAATACTAAAAGTCTTTGCTTTCAGTAATTAAACTGTAATGTTTCTGCGAGAGCAGAAAATTTGTATGCAGTATAAAACACAGTTCATATGGTACTGGAACCTGAGCAGAGGCCGCATCGGTTGGTGGTATGAGGCATGACAGCACACTCGGTGCAGAGCAGGTGTGTTGGATGTTCGGAACAAAGGCTGTCCTTAAACTGTACAAGAGAATGCGGGCTAGTGCTGCCGGAAACCCCTCAGATTCATTATGCATCTGATTTTGAGTTAATTTCTGGTCATTATGCATCCTGACCTCCATGTTCAGCAACAACCTCATATGGGGATGTGACCCCCAGTTTAGGAAGCTGAGATTCAGGGTCTTTGAACATGGGGGTGATGACTTTTGCAGCACATAGCGTTGCTGTGGAAATCACCGAGTTAATGTAGATGGAGAACGTCAAGCAGCGCTCAGCAACGTTTGGTGGCGGAGGCAGGGGTAACACAGCCTGGCCCTTTCCTTTGGTCTTTTATCTCTAGGACTTCTCTCATGGAGTCATGGCGTCTCCCGTCTCCCTCATATCAGATACTCTGTGCTGAACCCAGACACCTGAAAAGGATGCAGTTTATTCTGGTTTTCAGTTCCTCTGTGGTGGGAAGGACACAACAGAAGGAAGGGAAATGTGGTGGCAGGAGCAGGAGGTCAGCCGGTCGCATGGCATCCACAATCAGGAAGCAGAGACTTGAAACAGGAAGTGGGGCCAGTTATCAGACCTCAAGGACTCCCCTCAGTGACCCACTTCCTCCAGTGAGGCTCCACCGTCTAAAGGTTCCACAACCTTCCCAAATATGCCCTGTCTGCTGCTGGGGACCAAACGTTCACACACATGAGCGTATGAGACACATAGCACATTCAAACCGCAACGCTCTCCCATGCTTCCTAGCGGTTAGGTAGCCCCTCTGGTCTTCACCGTGACCTTCATCCAAAAAGTACCCCATATTCTATTCTGTTCTCTCAGGATCCCCTACTCAAAAGTGTTTACAGAAACCTTACACATTTCAATAGGTAATTCCTACCTGGAAATACCACAGGGTATCTCTAGGCACCTGTCTGTCAAATTACAAAGAGGTGTCCAAGCCCCCGCAGGTGCAGGACTTGGTGGGATCTTTGTACCTTTGAATGAATTGCAGTGAGTTGACCTATTGCTGTAGGCAAACGTGTGGTGCCAGGCTGCACAGCTTGGCAAACCCCAGGGCTTTTGCACGACACTGTAACACCACCACCACCACCACCACCACCCCCACCCCCGCTTTTCAACTGTGGGAAGGCAGCACCAATCAAGAATACTGTGCGTTCCTTGGGACCCCAGGGCGAGCACAGTGGTTTCACTTGTACTGGTTCTCTGGTTCCCTCAAAAGAGGCGCAAGAGACTAAAACGTGATGCTCTGCGGCAGGTGACTGTGGGGCACTTACAGGGAGAGTTGCCTTTCACGGTTTTCATACAGATAGGCCAGTCCAGGGGCGTTTAGGAGTCTAGCTTCTCCAGCCTCACATTTTCAAACCTCATAGCAAAAGCTAAATGAGATTCCTTTTAGTCTCGAGTTAGAGTTGGATGTGCCTCAGACATCCAGCAGCTAACGTCCCCTGAATTCTTCATAATGGGACCATTGCCTTCCGCACTCATGAGCCTTGCATTTCTACCTTGCGTTTAGGACGACCAAACCCCACTCCACATTTCAGCCCGACTGGGGAAGGTGGACATAGTGCAGCAGCTGCTGCAGCAAGGGGCGTCTGCAAACGCAGCAACAACTTCGGGGTACACCCCCCTTCACCTTTCAGCCCGGGAGGGGCACGAGGATGTGGCTGCGTTCCTTTTGGATCACGGAGCGTCTTTATCAATAACAACGAAGGTATGAAAGCTTGGCTCCCGTGCTAGACCCTCCTTAGAAATACACAGACGACAGGCTCAGAGGCTGCACTGTAGTCGTGGGGATCCCGGGCTAGTCACTAAGTGGTCAGCAATTCTACAGCAGCAGGAAGGTGGGTCTTTGTATAGAGGGACTTTGTTCTGTCCTTCTGTTTCCCAACTTATCATCCTCTACTGGTATCTGAATTACCTCTGTAATCAGAAATGTCTTACAGGTTACTGGATAGCTTTAAATGCTAGTTTGGAAACATAGCCACTGGTTTCCCTTACTGAAATCAAGTTCATAAGCCACACTGTGAGACTCAGTTGATGCTTTTATAAAGCTTTCAAACAGGGAGAGATTGTTCTCGTGTGTGTTTGTTTGGTGGTGCTCTTTTTATTACTGTTAACTTGGGGTTTGACTTATTTCTAACTCATCTGTGATATCTACGAGTGATATCCCTCACACAGCTGTGATGTATACACAGAATGCAAAATTAGGGGTTAATTTTTCTCATGATAACTGCCAGTATCCAGCAAGTGTGAGAGCAGGATGAACCAGCCTGTCTCTTTCTTGACTGTGGATAAGAAGGATTAATGCATAATCAATGCAAAAATAATTGCAAACACAAGAAAAGCCCCATCTGGTTAAATAGTGACTACCTCAGAGTTCATCTCCCATGATTCCTTGGATTCTCCAGTGGCGTCAAATCACAAGCTCCTGGATATCATTTCGAATGTGAAACAGAATAATGGCTGATGGGGTCAGGGTGCCCCGGCCCTCCTCTGTCCCCGCTGACCATTGGTTCTGGTTTACAGCAGGTCTCATGAGGCAGCGCATGCTGGTGATGCTCTGATCCCTGCTGTGTGCTTGGGATCCTCCCCAGTGCTGTGTGATGACTGACTAATTGATACCTGATTCCTTTAGGATCTGGACACCTGGGACTTCAGGCAGGCACTCTGCATCTAATTCCTGCGTGTGCCATGGCTCAGTTCACCTAAAGTAGCACAGAGAGGAATTCTCCAGGGCTGGAGCATGCATGAGGGCATGCTTGGGTTTTGTTTGTTTGTTTAATATATTTTTATTTTGTGTGTATGAGTATATTGCCTGCATGTGTGTAAGTGCACCCGTATTATGCACTCCCCACAGAGGACAGAAGAAGGCATCAGATGCCCTGGAACTGGAGTTATGGATCGTTGTTAGCTGTCATGTGGGTGCTAGGATTCGAACCCAGGTCTTCTTCAGGAACAATCAGTGCTCTTAACCACTGAGCTATCTCTGCAGCCCCCTGAGGACATGTTTCTATTTATGGGGAAAAGAAAGCATGTCTCCTGATGATGTGAGACTACCAAGGGTCCAGACTCATGCCAGGGTTTCCCGGGAACTCCAATGTGCGTGTGGGACCTGTAGCTATTCTTCTCACAGTACGAAACCTTAAAACTGAAATAACCTCCGCACCTAGCCCCTCGGCGTCATCCTGGGAGACACCTGACTAGTTCCGGTCAGTTGCATGTGTAGCTCAACCAGCAGACAGGAAACAGTGTCTTTCTCTTTAGGCCTTTTGGTGTTGCCGTCTACAAACATGTTGGGCCACATTCACAGCTGTCTTGGGTTGCATGTGGCCCACAGGCTGCAGGTGGGAGACACCTGGTAGGTCGAGTCTGCTTATCCTGATTAACAACAGACCCCTGCAACTGTCATCATCAGCATCAGTTCTCAGTCCCAGAAAAGCCATGCCCTGTGCCGCTTCTGATCTTGATCTTTCTGTTTCCTTCCCCAGAAAGGATTTACTCCCCTGCATGTGGCTGCCAAATACGGGAAGCTTGAGGTAGCCAACCTGCTACTGCAGAAAAGTGCCTCTCCGGATGCTGCAGGGAAGGTATGCGGTCACCACACGCCCTGTTGTAGGACACTCCCACAGTAACCCACCGCCACTACCCACCCAGATGGTAACGAAGCCATATTGAAGTCTCACTAGGTGAAGAACTCCTGGAACCAGGAGGTGCCCACTGGGTCCACACAGGGACCAGAATGATGAACGATGCTTTCTAGATCCAGTATAACCCTGTTTCCTAAATACAAGCCTCTCCTACTAAGTCACTTTTGACCCTGGTTGTTGTTTCTGCATGTGTTTTCAGAGCGGGCTAACTCCACTGCATGTAGCAGCGCATCACGATAATCAGAAAGTAGCTCTTCTGCTCTTGGCCCAGGGAGCCTCGCCCCACGCAGCCGCAAAGGTACCTGTAATTCCCGCATGAGAAATGAGTGGGCATCGTCTCTCTGCCTCTGCAGGAACCTCTGCACTGGTTAGCAGTGTAGTGCCCTCGTTTAGACATGACTTCTAAAAATTTCAGGCAGAATCGCCAGGTAGGTGTGTGCCTCCAGCCACTTAGTTGACTCCTGTGATAGATGCTTAATAAATACTGATTTACCATGAGTATCCAGGATATCCCAGAACATGGGGAGGGAAAGGAGCTGGAGTACTCTTCAGCCAGATTGAACATGGCTGAGGACGTGTCTGTCTGGTCAAGTGCTTGCCATGCAAGGGTGTGGACCTGAGTCCTAGCTCCATCACCCACGTGAAAAGTCAGGCACAAACCTGTAATCCTACAGTAGGGGTTGCAAAAACAGAAGGGTCCGTGGGGCTGGCTGGCCGGCTGGCCAGTCTAGTCTAGTCGGCCACCTCCAGGTTTAGTGAGAACCCTGTCTCAGAAAATAAAGTGGAGGGGCTGGAGAGATGGCTCAGTGGTTCAGAGCACTTACTGCTGCTCTTCTAGAGGACCCAGGTTCAGTTCCCAGCACCCATGCTGACATCTCACAGCCATCTATAACTCCAGCTCCAGGGGGATCTGACACTTCTGTCCTCCAAGGGCACCTCCACTCACCTGCACATACACACGCTCGGACACACACACACGCAGATATGGATTTAAAAGTAATAAAAAATAAGTAGAGAGGCAGCTGAGGAAGGCATCCAGCATTGAATTCTAGCCGCCGCCCAGATACACACATACACACATGCGAAAGTTCAGGTTTGTCAAAGTTTATAAAATACATACTGCATTTTGTTTCACAGAGTTTTTGGTATGTGGTTTTTGCTATTGCTCAGGGGAGGTTTCTTTGTATCATTAGGGTATCTTCCACCAGTAGACAGCTTAGATTTCTGAGAAGGACAAGCCTCTGTGTTCAGCTCTCCTGCTCCTCTGGTGTCCTGATCTGAGCAGCATATCGTACAGTTTACTTCGAGATGGGTTTGTAGAGTGCTGCTGGTTCAGCACTGTGCCAGAGATGGTGAGGACAGAACACCAAATGGTACAAACGAGAATCTGGACACCTTTCTGATCCTGACTAGTTCCAATCAGTTGCATGTGCGGCTCAACCAGCAGACAGGAAACAGTCTTTCTCTTTAGCCAAATGGTACAAACGAGAATCTGGACACCTTTCTGATCCTGACTAGTTCCAGTCAGTTGCATGTGCGGCTCAACCAGCAGACAGGAAACAGTGTCTTTCTCTTTAGGGAGTCCTGATGCCTTTTGGCATTGCCGTCCACAAACATGTTGGGCCACATTCACAGCTGTCTTGGGTTGCATGTGGCCCACAGGTTGAAGGGCTCTTTAGCCTCCTTGGTGGTTTAAGCCCTTTGTTTCTCGTCTCCGTTTTGTGGTGCCTTGCGTGTTCTCCAGTGTTTACATCATCCCCAGCACACACACGTCAGTGAGCCTGTCTGTTTCAGTAATGTGCAATGCTATAGACAGAAAATTCTAGATACTTCCTCCATCAGAGAAGTTGTTTAATTTTTTTCACATTGTGTGTGTGCATGTGTGTGTTGTGTGCATGCACCCAAATACGTGTGTGTACACACAAGCCTGCATGTGCACATATTATCACACAGGTGCCGTGGTCAGAGGACAGCTTCAGGAGTTCATTCTCTCCTTCACCCATGTAGGTTCCAGGGTCATCAGGTTTGGCGTCAGGCACCTTTACCCAGTGTTGGCTTTGACAGGAATTTCTTCTCAGAATCTCATCTCCTTCCTGTGCTCGTCCTTTAAAAGTGTTTTATTTTTATATGTATGAGTGTTATGCCTGCAGGTATGAAAATGCACCTGTGTCATGCAGTGCCTACAGAGGTCAGAAGAGGATGTCAGATCCCCTGAAACTGGAGTTAGGGACAGTTGTTAGCCATCATTGGGTGCTGGGAATTGAACCCTGGTCCTCTGCAGGGGTAGCCAGTGCTCTTAACTGCTGAGCCGTCTCTCTAGTCCCCTTCTTGTGTTCGTAAGCCATTGCCCATCATCTCCCTCTCCAAAGCTGTACCTGAAGACACTGATTTAAAATCAGATTCCCAAGACTTTCTCCCACAGTATCGATCATTGGCTCTGCCACAAAGAAGGTCTTTCCTGCTATGCCTTGACAAAAAAATACTTTAAAAAATAATTTTAAAGGCATAGTGAGCTATTCACAAGAACTCAAAGGGTGAAACACCATAGTGTCCATCAGTGGATCCATGGATGAAGAAAATGTAGGCTATATACACAGAGAAGGGGAGAGAGAGAGGGAGAGAGAGAGAGAGAGAAAGAGAGAGAGAGAGAGAGAGAGAGAGCATGAGAGAGCATAAGAGGGATGAGGGGACAAAGGAGCCTCTTCAGAGAGCAATCTTCAGAACAGTGTCCTGACCAAATCCCCTGAAGAGTTTCCAGACCAATCCTGGGAATAAAGGAAAGTTCTGACCGTTTATAACCTTTTAGGGGTGGGAATTTTCCTATCATTGAGTTCAACATAGTCTGTGTGACAAAGAGCATGCAGGATCCAGGTGCTGGTCAGGACCATAATCAGGGCTGCTGTTAGGCCACAGTGCACACTACTTCCTAACTGTCGCAGAGCACTGCAGGGAACCCTGGCCTGATCAGACCTAAAGGTGCAGGCCCGTGTCCTAACAACTGTGATGTTTCTGTATGTGCGATTTAAAAAACTCTGCCTATCGTCTCCCTCCTGCCCCATCTCGTCCTCCGACCCTTCCTGCTGGTTGCTCTTCTCTTCCCAAACAGTCTTACGTCGCTTTCTTGTCCTGTTTCTCAGTACATTGACAACACAACGAATGGGCACTTTGTCTTTCTGAGTCCGTCATACTTAACTTGGAAGAAAATTCCGACACTGGTGCTGGAAGAAGTCCAGTGCACAGATGAAGCGCACTTAGGAGGTTCTCAGAATGATCACATCACCTTCAGAGATGGGCAGAGAAGAGGCTTGGGTGGAGAGGACAGGGGAGCAGAGAGAATGGAGAGAGTTCATTTGAGGAAGAGGAAAATGTTCTGGAGATGGGAGACAGTGAGAGCTGGGCAGAGACTTCAAGCCACTCACCATGAGCTTGAAAAGAACGCTTTATATGGGAAAGTTCGTTACTGTGGATTTTGCTAAACTGTAAGAAATTTAATGTTTGCCCATGCTCAGTTTGTTGTATGGTAATACCCCTGCACATGTGGGCCCCCGTTTTTTCTAAGTAATCCCAGGGTCTTGGTTGGCAGCTTGTGTATAGTTAGTACATTATCAAATTGTTTCTCACACAGAGTAATGAGGGAACACTAGTGCCAAGCAAGCTAGAAGTGGCAGGACTTTTGTGATATGTGTTTTAACAAATGAGCCCAATCCATCTTTCTGTTCAGAAACAGGTTAGAAGCTGGGGGTGTAGCTCAGTGGTAGAATTGCCTGCATGCTGCAAGCCCTGGGTTGAATCCTGGCATCACGTAAACCAAGTGTGGTGGTGCACACTTGTAATCCCAGTGTTCAGGTGATGGGGGCAGGAGGATAAAAGGTCCAAGGTCACCATCTCCTTGGCTACATAGTGGATTCAAAGCCAGCATGGAATGCCAAATACACACACACACACACACACCACCTAAATAAATAAAATAAAAATGAACAGTTCAATAGTTTGTATCTTTGTAGTTGGTATTTAGCTTTACATTTGTGAAAAAAAAATTTAGGATTAATATTTCCATGCCTGAGGGAGTTGAAGAACTACCCCGTCTTTGTTAGGTCTCATTACCCTGAGGCCACAGTTAGGCACCTGCTTCGCTACTGGGACACTGATTCTCAGTCCCATGGCACATGGCTTCCACAGTAGACGGCTTCCACAGTAGACGGTGTCCTTGGCAAGTCGCACATCATTCCTGTCCTTCAGAGCAGTGGTGCTGGTCAGGGCTGTCCATCACTCGGATCCTGAGCAAACTGGTTATTTCAGTTACAGACTGGCTTTATCTACTTGGGGGGAAAGTCCTCGCTGCTCTGTGTGCGTGTGTGTGTGCGTGTGTGTGTGTGTGTGTGTGTGTGTGTGTGCGCGTGTGTGTGTTTGTGTGCGCGTGTGTGTGTTTGTGTGCGCACTACTGGGGCTGTTTGGCCTCCAGCCTTATCCGTGGAGAGGTCCACAGAGCAGTTAACTGCACATTTGTGAAAAAAAAAATTAGGATTAATATTTCCATGCCTGAGGGAGTTGAAGAACTACCCCGTCTTTGTTAGGTCTCATTACCCTGAGGCCACAGTTAGGCACCTGCTTCGCTACTGGGACACTGATTCTCAGTCCCATGGCACATGGCTTCCACAGTAGACGGCTTCCACCGTAGACGGTGTCCTTGGCAAGTCGCACATCATTCCTATCCTTCAGAGCAGTGGTGCTGGTCAGGGCCGTCCATCACTCGGATCCTGAGCAAACTGGTTATTTCAGTTACAGACTGGCTTTATCTACTTGGGGGAAAGTCCTCGCTGCTCTGTGTGTGTGCGTGTGTGTGTGTGTGTGTGTGTGTGTGTGTGTGTGCGCGCGTGTGTGTGTTTGTGTGCGCACTGCTGGGGCTGTTTGGCCTTCAGCCTTATCCGTGGAGAGGTCCACAGAGCAGTTAACTGCTGCAGAATTCTGCAAGCTGATGGCTGGCCCCTTTAAGGTAGCAGGAAGTCAGGACAGCAGGGCTTCCCGGAAGTGCCTCCCGCCACCAAGCTTGATAGCTGGCTCATTGGCCACTGTAGGTGCAAGGGACGCTGGGAAATGTAGTTTTCAGCTGGGCATATTGCTAGAGGTTCTTTGAGAGAGGAAGGGGACTCCGAGGCGCTGCCTCTTTTCCTCTCCGGAAGC